TTTGGTGAACAACCACTCCTGAGTTCCTTGCCCTCCAGCCATGCCTGCGTCTCCCAAGGTCCACGCTCTGAAACCCCTTGGCATTGCCTTCCAAGTCTGAGTCCAAGTCTATCACTGTAAGGAGAAAACATCATAATCAAATGCTCCACCAGTGTTGATACCTACCTGACCTCTCTCCTGAGACCTTCCCTACCTGAGTACATTTACCAACATTAGAGCACTGTTTTACCTTTTGGAGTTCGCTTTGTTCACAGTGAAACATCATCTGGTTCCCTGAGAACATGACACATGTGCACCCTTGCAAGTAAAGCCGGTTGAAATGTTTTACCTTCCATGAGTCTGTGGTTCTTTATCGAGTCAGCGTTAGCGAAATCGTTTTCCTAACAGCAAAACTCCTCAGGGAAGAGTTGTGAACATAACAAGAAACTGGTCCAGATGACTTGATTTAACCGTTTTTGTTGTTACAACAAAAAACCTCTTATGTGGAATGGAAATACGTAGATTATATATGAAAAAAAGTACTTCTTTTCAATTTCTTCTTTGTTCACTTTTCATTGACAGTTTATATTGGACTCGTATTACAGTTATTTATTTATTTATTTATTTTTCACCGCTGTGCCAAAATTTTTTGCACAAAACTGTTGTTGTTCTTGTTGCTGAGCTGGTCAGGAGGTGTTGAAATTATTTTTAAACAGGCCCATGTGTGATGTGTGTTATGCTGTTGATTTTTAAAAGAAAGAAGATATTTTTGCATGTGTGGGTGATTGGTTATGGTGTGTTTCTGTAGCTACTGGAGGGCCAGGGATGGGGCTCAGCACCACCTACTATACGTCAAGGCCCATCACCAAACTACTTTCAATTTTCTTTGTTTTTCTATTTTGTGTGTGAGTGATTTAATAAATCTGAAAAGTGTATTCTAGTTTAATTTAAACCAAGCAATCTTACAAATTATTTTAATAATTTTTATAATAATTCTAATAATTAAAAAAAATATATATTTATTTTTAGCTTAATTTTGGAAGCTTACATTTTCTGTGTACTATAACAACATTATATATTCAGGAGTTTGTCTCTAGATTGGTATAGGAGGCCAGTAAGTGAGTCTATATCTGTTGTTACAACTTCTTTTTGACAGCAATGGCAAAACTATTACATTTCTTTCAGAGCCACTGGGAGGACTGGTGCCATGTCAGTGGATGGATGGAACACATCTATCTTTACAACACTCCCCCCTAGTGGTCAGAATATGCTACTTTTTGAATATCTGCAATTTTTATTTATTTTTTATTTTTTTTATAAAACTTTGTGAATGGCAGGGTATTGATTAATTTTATTACACACTGCAAATAGTTTGAAAATGCCTCATAAATTTATATATCCGGCTCTGATATGTTTCAGACCCTTCAATTTGTTTAAAATAACAAATAGCGTCTAGTTTCATACAGATCTTCAGTCAAGTTTATTTGAGTTATTCAACCTTTATTTAGACAGGTTAATCCCATTGAGCCTCGGGGACTCATTTACAAGAGACACCTGAATTTTAACAGAGTGATGACAACAGTGGACAACAAAATTTGATGACTTCAAAAGTGATGACACTGATGCCGTTTCCCTCTGTACTCATGTGAAAGTTCCTATCTAATTATAAGTAATGTGCTACTGGTTACTGGTTTTGTTAAAAACATCGCCAAGGAGAAAATGGTTGACCAAATCAGAGTAAATTTGTACTGGAAATCAACTCCCAAACCTGGTTTCAGTATGTTTAAACATAGTCCTATAGTCCTTTTTTGACATTTGTTATTGTAGGTACACAGGGATTCTTGTGCAGAGCTTTCAAATCAGACGTAAAATAGGGTTTTGAAAGCTTAGAATATAAATATAGAGAGATTATAAGTCTGAAATAATGATTGATACAAAGGCAAAATAGATAATGCAATTTCAGAGATAAATATAGCACAGTGAGCGTATTGTCATCAAGCAATAATTACCGGTTTGTCATCAGTCTGACTGTGGCAGGAAGTAAGTTTTTATGAAACCTGCTTTGGTGCTACGATGCTGTCTGCTCCACCCATCCTCAGGTTGTAAGGAGTGTATTTGTGCTTAAGGAGAGCGTGAGCAAGGTGAAGTCTTTAATTATTTGGGTAGCTCACTTTTTATTGCGCTGTTTGCAGATGGGGTCCATGGGTGGGAGATCAGTATTGATTGTTTGTTTTGCTGTTTTGACAACTGTCTGAAGAGACTTCCCTCCCGTGACTACGGTGACATTATTTGCATGAACGCCCCCACAGGCACCCTGTAGATGTTGGTTGCTGTCTATCATGGTACATTAAGATTCATAACTGGCTGTAACTACCGTACCCATCACTGCACCCTGTATTCACTGGTTAGCTGGACATCATTAACTTCACATAGACTCTCTCACTGGTACATTTTCATTTTCATCTTTAAATCACTTCTTGGTCTGCTGCCTTCATACATCTCCTCCTACATGTCTCTGC